ACTGTGCCAAGGTTAGACTCCTTCGGTGATACACGCACCGCAAGCATGAGAATGTGCAGTTTAGAGAATAAACATTAGTATTCAGGGGATGGCTACCTTGTCATCAAAATGATTTGTTTTCTGGATGATTCAGGAGTTTGTTGACTTGCTCAAGTGACTCTCAGTCTGTCTTAAATGAGAACCTGTTGATAACCTACCACCCTGAAAATGGAGTCAGCGGGGGAAAAAATATGACTGGACAGGGTGCTAGGTTATCTCATTTAGGTTCCCTTTTCTGCAAAAAGTTGGGCTAGAAGGTCTTTTGTGGTCCCTTTCAACCTGTAACATTCTTAAGATGGGGGAAAGATGACAACAGACAGGGACAGGCAGCAACATATCTGAGAATTTTCTTCTAAGCAAAGACAGGACCGCAGGTAGAAGAGCTTGGGACTTGCAACTGTGCTTTCACCAGCAGCCTAGAGCATCTTGCTTAAGTTTCACATCTTCAGCTGTATTCTTGCAACAGCCTGTTTTAAAGCATGTGAAAGATAGGAGAAGCTCAAATATTTTGGGCAAAAAGGCAACGAACACATGATAATATATAACGAACTGCAGCCCTGTACCTATCCCAAATCCTTAACTGGAAGACAAGAAACTCTTTCTGGTACAGTTTATTGTTCTGCATGCTAAATATTTCCCTCAAATGGCTTCTGCTCTAGTCTTGTTCCAGTAATTTACTTTTTTTTTACCTGTCAGAAAATTACATCTATCTACCTTTTCAATAAATTAGAATTTCTTATAGCAGCTCTTTGCTACAATACAGAATACCAGTTGTTGAATATTATCAGTATAAGTACCTCTAAATTCTGATAATTAATGTGGTTATAGTATATCTCTGACCCTCGGATACAGTAGAATAAACCATTTGCTCTTCCTTAATGCTCTGTTACATACCAAGCAAGAACATTAATCTATGGCAAAGCAAAGGGTACACACTTTTATGTTTGTTGTTTAATTCAGATGCTTTTTCATTAAGGAAGAAATAGCAGAGGGAGCCCATGTAAACATTATTGGAAGTTGCTGCATCACAGAAGAAATGGAATGCACTAAATTAGTTACTTGCTTATATGTGTATTTGCAGAGCATATCTTACTCCTTTTTCACAGAAGCAGTTCAGGTTGTGCTTAAAAAATGCTTAACATTTCTCATATGATATTTTAAAAATAGAAAATCAGTGAGAAGAAATAATTCTCAGTGAAAGAACCCACTGATACCAAACTTTTTTTTTTTACATTAATGACTTTTTGAAAAGACTTCTTGTGTAAAGAAGCTACAGATTGGCAACTTTTCTTCCTGGTTCTAAAGCTGTTGGCATAAGCAGGGTTTTGAGCACAGTGTATCAAGAAGATGTCTGTTAATATGTGAAAGTCAGAGTCAAAAGAACTGTGTTACAGATTGCTAAATAAATGCTTTTCCATAACCAGGTCCAAGTCTTGTCTCATTTGAGGCACCATATGTGCCTGCTACTGTAGGGCACAGTCTGAGTTTATCTTCAAAATTGCACCTAATTTCAAGAGTGAGTGATTTTGCTAGCACTGCAGACTCATGGATTTGAAGCAAGTTTGGTATCTCATCCACCCACATTATGGCAGTAATTATCTGAATGGTGCAGACATCACATCCTGAATAGTCTTAGATTTTAGAGGTGCATGTGCACACCCACATGCTTCTGGCTGCAGTGAGACATGTGGTGACAGCAAGAAGCAAAGACTTCTTGTCACAGTGTTCAAGTATCACTTTACACTTGAACCTTCACCCCCATCTCTTTGTTCTAGAGCTTTTCTCTATAACTGAAAAATATTCGTGTATAAAGTGTGTCCCTCCTTCTAGGGGTTACAGCAGTCAGTACAAATGAACAGTCAAAACATGGTATCACATCAGGACTTTGCCACTATTATATTCCACAAAGTAAGTTAAGGTCTTGGATGGATCCAGAGATTTGGTGGGTAGTTAAGGCAATTCACGCTGTAGACAGAGAAACAGCGTGGGACAAGCACTCTGTGACTCAGGTGGTTGTTACACTGATGTTTCTTTGCCTAGATTTCACACTCTCCCATTCAAGTGCATTTAACACAGTTCTTTTATAAAATGCTTCATGTCATAAAAATGTTTGAAAGCCTGATATAAGGTAGTTTATTAAAAGGAACAGACACAAGTCTGTTGAGCTGGGCATACATTTTTCTTGTTGATTTCAATAAAAGGCTCTCATTCATAAAGGAAAGGACAGAGTTAAGGTAGGAAAGGAAGGCAAACAACCCACACTCAGTCACTTGTGGTATGTAACCCTTGTGAAGCTGGCAATGCCACAGAATCTGCAATAACAAACGTGAGCAGAACGGATAGCAGACTGCTTGCTGCTATCTGCAAAGTGATCAGAAATGGATAAATGCAGAAAGGCAGTCATTTAATTTCCATCCAAACCCTGCTCTCAGACCCTCAGCCCATCTCAACAAGTACAGATGTACACTCCATAACACGTAACCCTGATGCAAGAGGAACATATTACTTCAATAAATCTTCCCTAGTTTTAGCACCCTCTCTTCTTATGTATAACCGCATTCTGTAGTCTTTTTTTTCATGTACTGTGGGTCTTTTTTCAAGAGCCTTTCCAACTTCTGTCCTTTCCAAATTGCTTTCCTGGTACTAGAGAAGGAAAAAGTTCAGACAATGACCAAAATATACAAAGCATGAGGAAACAGCTGTTAGGTGATTAAAAAAATTTAAAATGTTGTTCCCCCCGCCTTTTGTTATTTACTAATCTGGTTTCTAACAGAACTTTAGTTAAAAGGAAAGACATTCACAGAAGATATAATGCATACAAATACGTTGCCCTTCTTTCATTCTAATTTACATGCTCTTGCTTTTAGAAGGCAAGGTTCCTTTAATTTCTCTAGGACGGACAATGACATCTGATTAATGTAATTTAGATTCCGCTTTTAAAAAATGACACCCTTTCAGGATGACCATGCTTGATAGAATGTAAAATCATTCATGAGAGAAATCATATTAAAAGCTATTGCTTGTCAAACTGGGATAGTTTCACATTTCAACAGATACCCTGGAAATTACATGCACCTGTCATTAAAGGACACTGTTTTAATTATACTGAATTTTTATCGGTACAATAAACTTATATGTATACACCACTGCTTCAGCAGTCTTACTAAATTATTTATTATGACTATCCTTTCACATATATCATGCTACCTAAAGCATGATATTAAAATGCTGCCATACCTTTGAAGTGGTAACTGCTAGAAGAGATATAAAAGGAACAAGTATCGTTTAAGACACAAAAAATACAAAGCAGAAATGCTACAGTACCAATTAAAGATACATATGCCTATTTAATACATCTGAATTTTCTATCAGTAAATATGGAATAAGTAGTGTGTGAAAGGCTGGATTCGAAACCGCCAGACTGGATTGCAGATTTCCCTCGAGGTTCGGTTGACATGAAAATAAGTTCTCCACTGTTTCAGCTCCATGTCTCATTACCTGGTGGTCTGCATGTGTTGTGAATGAGAATCCAAAATATTGCTTATATTATTTCACTAACACTGAGAGCCCTAATCTCCAGCCCAGTCTTGCTCTCTCCACTGCTGGCAGCAGTTTTGTCATCATTTCCTGTGGAATCAGGAGTGAACATTTTAGAAACACAACTGGGACACTTTGGTTCCCAAACAAGTACAAGAAGCTACATTTTTCTGCACAGTTCAAATAGGTGAAACAGCTAAAAAATTGGTAATAAAAGACCGATTATTTTAATATTCTTTGGGGAAAATACAGAGTTTTATAAAAGCAGGACCCACTCTCCCCTCCAACAGATTTTCCCACTACAGGTGTAAGGATAGCACCTGTTAAACAACATGGATTTTTGGCACAAGTAAGAGTGGGTGAAATAAACTGTGGATGTTTTTTCAGCCTTCAATGATAGGCTTGCAGAGGAAGAAATCCTCAGAATAGATATAGTGCTAGCAAAATACACAGGCTACTTCTCTGAGCCTGCTCCTGCTTCACTGCCAGGCTGCAGAATGTCCACTGCCTATAATTAAACATATACCATTCTCAGAAACAAAATACAAAGCAGACAGGCAGGAATTCACCTAAAGTCACCAAATGCCTATACAGAGACCAGCTGCTAATGGATAATATCATGTCTAAGGTCCAGTTTAAGAAGAAACAAGAATTCTAATAATTAAAATCTTCTAGAGTCATGAAAGTGACTGCATAAGACAAGAGTGAAGATTATCAACATTTTAACACAGCACTAATGAATTTCACACGTCAAAAAAGGAAACTTCAACCAAATCCCAATCTATGCAAACTCTATTATCTTCTCTTGGTAACTTGAAGTTGCAGGCAAGAATGTTTTTCAGAGTGGACTAAAATACCACTAAAATCAAATTAAATATAAAGTAATATAGAAAAGATAATGCCTTTTCAATTCTACAAAGACACATGTGATTGCTACGTAGTTTGCTGAATAGTGGTGCAAGGTAGATTCATGCCCTGCTGATATTCTCCAAGGAGTGAAGACTTATCTTACACCCATGATTAAACAAGAATAAGGACTCACCTGCTTGATTACAGACAAAAGAGGGAGAGGTTAATACTGGAGGCAAGGTAAAACACTGCAGAGCACAAGAGTGACAGAGGTAATTTTTATGCCTACCTGAACCTCTCTGCCACATGTTACCTGAGAAACAGTAATTTCTTCTGAAACTGGCAACTTCTTTGTATGCTAATTCCAAATTCATAAATGGAAGAAATTAATGGGTTTGATTTGCTCATATCTATGTTCAATGAATCCAGAAGAGGACTTTAGTCTACCATCCTTAAAACCCAAACTATTTGGCCTTGTCTGTCTGCCAAACTGAGCTTGTCAATTCCTTGTCTGGTAAAACTCCAATATTTTCTTCCCCCTACTTGATTTTTTTCTTCTTTTTTTTTTTTTTCATTTTGAAGAATCAACTAGAATAATGAAAGTGTAGTAGATTGCACATTTAGGTGAAAAATAAATCTTTCTTGTACAGAAAAATGGGTTAAATCTGTGCCTACTAAACCCAGCCAAATTAAAGGTAAAGCAAATCTAGGACTGTCACAAGCATAAAAACTTTTAAGGGGAAATTCTTGGTATTATTTCTGTTCCTTTAACACGTGGCAATTGTCCTGCAGTGTATTCATTCCTTCATTCTGTTCACTGCAAAACCTGCCCATTAAGGCCTTACATTCCTTCAGACTACAGGAGAACCACTCTCCTCTACAGAGGGCAAGCTAAAGCTTTGTTATTGCCACCAAAGGATATTAGGTCTTCAGGCTGCCCCTTTGCCTTTCCTACTAGCTGCCTGCCTGCTGCTCAGGCAACACCTGCAACTTCTGTGGTCTGAGAGGGAAAATGGGATGCAATGATGCACTTGGCCTTGCTAGTCTTAAAAATGCCTTACAAAGACAGTAAAATAGTTCAGGTAAATCTCTGTGTTGAAAAATAACTCTCCTCAGTGTGCTGAGTGTTTCTCATGTGCCCTGGGGGCAGAGTTTCCAAGCCTCCTTTGCCTCACCTTTCTGACTGTGCAAACACTGCCAGCAGAGGCTTTCCTTGCAAAGGTTTTAAGGAATAAATTGCTACTCTTGAGTCGGGAAAAAAGTATGATGTGAAGCCTGTATGTTCAAATGCATTGACTAGACCTATACTAATAATTCTATGACAGTCTATTAAGAAGAAACAGAAGTGAAGTCTGGTTCTAATTCCCTACTACAATGTACAGCATATGCCAAAATGTCACGGGCAGATGCGAGTTTAACTGGCACATGCCTCAGGTCACCAGTGCCACAGCCAAAGATACAGGAACAGCTTAGGTCTACAGAGTCACACAGCATCATCCTCCCTCAGAGACCAAAATAATAATAATAAAAAACCCCCCTAAAACTTCCTGTGCTTTATGGTCGTCCTCTCTAGTAGTAACAGTAGTCGTAATAACAGTATTTTTACACTGTTGATGAGAATTGCACGCAATCCACAAAGTGCCTGGATCAAGAAGGTGGATCCTGCCAGGGCTGACATGGGCTGATGACGTGTTGAGAAACTGGGGAGTAAGATTTGCATTAGTCTTCATGCCCCAGTTCCACCCCCAGCCCTGAACCCCCAGATCAATACCACTAAAATGAATGGTGTTATGGTCAAGGTGTGGGGCTGAGGGCAGTGTGTGGGAAAGTGGCCAGCCATGAAGGAATACAATGCTGGGAAAAAAGAGCTGCCACTTGCTCTCAGGATAGAACTACCCACATTTTAAACAGCTTTTAAAAAATATAAAAAACCAGTCCCGTTTCTTGTCACAAGTACCCAGAACATCTCTAAACACACACAGAAATAGACAGGTATTACTGAAAATTTTAACCAGTGCTGAAGCTGCAAAACTGCTCTTTGTTGTAGTCGTTTGGATACAGAAGGGGCAAGTTGCTGTAAATAACTATTAAAAAATATTTTTTCTTAAATGCTTGAGATATTTTTTTTTCTCCAGTCTCAGTGGTATTTTCCTGTCACTTGCTCCACCAGTTGTGCTGATCTTTTTACCCTATGTGTGCTCAAGCGTCCAACACAGAGTGTTCTCTCTCCACTGCAAGAGTCATCCCAGTCCCACCCTGGCCCAGCTCATATCCCACCCCAGGCCCCATCCCCGTAGGCTTAGATAAGCCATTCCTTCTTGCTCTCGTCTATGGTCTCCGTGAAGTTGGGGTCATTGTTCATGATGGCAGCATCGGCGCTCTCGGCTGACTCTGCCCCTTTGGCTTCGTTGGTGTGATAGGTTCCCTTGTGGCGAAACATGTAGCGGATCAGGAACACCAAGGTGCAGAGGATGGTGAAGATCACCACTGCGATGACGCCTACACACAGCAGGAAAGAAAAGATGATGATGCTGGTGAGACCAGCTACAGATTTTGACACAAAGAAATGATCCCAAAACTTGGGTAGTAAGGCATCACCACAGTTGCTTGGTTTCCACTGCTCTAATATTTATATGTAGTTTTCGCTGTATACAAAATGTTACTCAATGAAGTCTGCTAGTGACTTTCATCCTGTAAGTAAACTTCAACATTAATACCCACTTACAGATCTGAGCTGTGCTGACCATGATACAGAGGGTGCTGAGTGCTCCCAAATCAGTGGGGTGAAATGGTGATGTGTCACAGCCAGGGCAACTCTTTGAAGATGAGTCACTGATGTACACTTTCTAGTTAATGGCTGTAAAGACCTATTAGAGTTCCTCAAGATGTCTGGAAATTGGCTTGGCTCACTGTTGTCTCACTCTAGGCACTGGCTCCACATAATTGCAGATGTAACTGCTTTATCATCTGCTCTAACCTTAATTGCTCTCCCTGCAATGGTCTATTTGGGGTTCAACCATGATATGGAGAAATCTCATGAATGTTATGCTGTTAGGTATCTATGTGATAAAACTACACTGTTTCTGTTTTGGCCCTTCTCTACAGGCATGAAAAACTTCAAGGATGAAGATATTATAAAACTGACAGGTTAAAAGAAATATTGTAATCATCCAGAATTATGTTATGCCACTTTATGTTAACTGATGCATTGGACAAACAGGCTGTTCAGGTGTGGTCTGAATTTTTCTGAGGAGTGCAAAGATATCCTTCTGGTATTGTGAAGTCTCAAAGTATTAAGGAAAATTTATAAGTAATAATCAAAATACAAGTTAGAAAGGAAAAATAACATAGCAAATCAAAACTAAAACAACTAATCTAAACCTGGATATGGAAACATAGACCCTTGAGGGGGCCATGGAAAAGAACCAAGAAATTCTATTAGACTGCTTGTAGTACTATACTCAGTGTTTCCTTACATGGCAAAACCCACTATCAGTACATAATTTTATATGTATTTAGAACTGACTGAAAGCTAGTAGGCTGATCTTTAATTTATTCTTTTTTTATATATGCCTTCAGAATTGGATGAAGTGGCAAAGTTTTCCCAGGATAGTTACAGTGCAGCACTTCCACACTATGGGACAGGACAGAGCAAATTGCACGTGTGCATAAAATTAAACAAGACTCTTATTTCAGGCAGCAGCTGGCCAGAATATTTTCAATGGAATGCTTATTCAAAGTTCCAATTCTGGTATTGCTTAATATCACCTATAACAGTGAACGGGAATCTCTGGCACATAAGTTTTGGCAGAACTTGGGCTGTAAAAAAGAATGCAGGATCACAAGGGATTTTTGTCAAGGGCAGAGCAAGCAGTGTTTGACATAGATTCGTGTTGATTCTGCTGTATCTGGAAAAGCATCCTTGCTATTTCATACAAATCAATTACTCTGTTAACGTGAGTAACTACTACAAAGTAGATCCCCACATGGATGCTTAATATGTGGATTATGAATATCAGTACTTGAATTTGTTTAAAACTGAATCTGAGGGGACAACCTAAGTAAGAAAAAACTATTCACTAGGACAATGTGTTTGAACAGAGTTACACAAAAATTGTTTATCTTTGTTCAGGTGTCGTTTTCCCACATAGTCACCTCTTAGCAAATAGCTTGAATATGTTACCAACAGCAATTCAGCCACCAGAGCCATACTGCAAAGTATATTAGAAAAGTAGATGGTTTTCTTACCTCCAATAATAGCAGAGTTTCTGTTAACTCCATCTCCTATAGCTTGACCGTTGTATGGGAAATCGGCACTCGCTGTAAATAGGGAATTAAAGACTGATGTTGAAATCGCAGTGAAACCTCTGTATGAAGTTCAGAAATACATCCAACATCCTCAGATACAATTAAAGAAAAATTGTGATCCCTAGATATTTATCTAAAGAAGAGTAAAAAAAAAAATCTTTCACTATTAACTAATCCCTCAGAACGACTTGCTTCCTCCTCTTAACAAAAATAAAGTTAAACTAAAGGAGGTACTCTTGGTAAGCATTGCTGTTAATACAGGACGTCAATTTGCCACTTTACCAACATAAATTCAGTAAGTTTTAAGTGGTAAGTTAGCACAAAGCAAAACAAAACCCTTTCTTTTAAAAGTGTGTGATCATACACATTATTAGAGAGATTTTTGCCTTTGTTGGTGCTATACATTAAAGGCTTCAGAAGTCTCCAGAATTTTGTGACCACTGTTGTGTAAAACCGCAAGCTCTTTGAAAGAAAAACTGGAATCTCTTTTGCTGTTGCGCAGCCCAAGGTAAGAGAGGGGCTGCATCTTCTGTTGGTCAGAGCCACAGAGCAGTTACCCAAAGGACCACGTGCCAGCACCTTTGCTACTCTAGGAGAAAGCCCAGCGTGTCAGCTTAGCCCCTGCTGGAGGTGCTTTGGAGCTGAGAAGCAAGACTGTGAGCTGGAGGAGCTCAGGCATGGCAGGCAGGAGAGCCTCCAGCAGACAGATGAGGAGAGGAAATGCAGTCAGATATACCAGTGCTCTTCTGCCAGTGGCCTAAAAAGTTCTCCTTGCAGCAGAACTTGATGAAGGAATCAGTACAAGTTTAAAGTAGAATTTGGATGGTGGCCTTGGTTTTGACCTCCAGAAAACATCACAGAGGCTTTTCAAAAGGCTTTTCAAATCTCATAAATTAAACCTATAAAAAGCATTTTCTTTATAGTCAGACACAGCACCTAGACACTGCAATGACTAAGCAAGCCCAGGGAACTAGATAAGCCACTGGAATAATTTCCTTCTTTGCCACTGGACTATGGCACCGATTTTGAAATAGAGAAAATGTTGTTAAAAGTGCTTAACTGGAGAAAGTTAAAATAATCAAGGATATTAATTATTTCTTAGGCAGCATGTAAAACCCCAGTGTATTTTTGTTGCTTGATGGATTAGGTGATATTATATCAAAATAATCAGTTTTCTTTACAAACCAGTGATGCTTTCAGTATACCCAAAAACTGGCTAAGGGAATTCAACTCTCTGTTAGTATGGAGTAAAATCCATAATAAAGTTCCTTTTGTATTGTAAAGCAGCTGCACAAAAGAATGAATGGCTTCAGCTTGCCACATGGCCTGAAAAGAAGTTTGGGGCTAGAGTAGCCTTCTGTGTGCCTACTCTGGGAGAGAGCCGAACCATCTGTGTGTTCAGCAGCTAGTTTTTGGCTGGTTGCCTGTGGGGCAAACAGGACAGCATTTCTCAGAGCAAAGTGGAGGGGGCTTGTCCAGCAGTTTTTACCAGCAGCACTTGTGCCTTTGACATTTGTTGGTGCTCTGCCTTCTTCTGCACCTCTCAGAAACAAATCAGGATATAAACTGCAAAAAAAAAGTAAATACCTGGTTCTGTATCAGTGGAGTTTGCTCCAAAGAACTGTGCAGGACCACTAATGAAGACATTTTGGCACAGAGGCCATAATCATACCCTTCCAGTGCTAGAAGTGAAGGGCTGGCACTGGGAAAATGAATTCCAGTTTTAAACCTGCCCTAATTGCTCTCTGCCATTCTAAACTAAAAGGAGGCCCCTTTCCGCAGGAGCAGCACCACAGGCAGTTAAGTCCTACCACTTGCCACTTGTTTGAGAGTTGGTCTTGTGTCCTCACAAGAAATCTGATAGTTGGCAATGGTCACAGTTCCTTCTTCCCTTACAACTGAATATTGTATTTTATCTTCTTCTAAAAGGTTATGAAGAAAGAGGAAAGCTGCTGTTCATGGCAGCATGATCCCTCCTGAGCTGCCACATCACAACAGCTACGCTACAAGGGATTCCCGACAGATGGAAGACCACAGTTTATGATGTTCAATAGCCACTGAAGTACACTGCAGGTTAATGAAGAACATGAAGCAGGATGTGAAGATACATCCTTGATCTTGTGTGAGAGCTGCTAGGAGGACTGGATCCAGTGCCTCCATCTAAAGCTGCTTTCCATTGCACCTGGTCATCTTACACCCTCAGGAGGAGGTGTCCATTGGATCAACAAGCAGATGAGATTCACTTTGTGACTCCCATTGCGGACAAAAGAGGAAACTGGAATGTGTGTCTGGGGGCAGGGGACAGTGTATTTGAGCAAGAGTTCATCATCATATTGGCTAAGTGCCCTGCTGCAACTGCTGAAGAACTAGGAGTTCTGGTTCTGAAAATAGGATGTCACGAAAATAGGATCTTAGATTTTCATGAATCTTTTTTTTTAAAGCACCTGTGGTCAAGTTGGCAGATATTTTCACCATAATTCATGGCTTCCTGTTCGATTATTTTTGTGTCCGCAAGAGACTTTCTTGTGTATTATGACTGGGTTTTTTTTGACTGAAAAACTGTCCCAACCAAATGTGGGGTTACAGAATATATTTTGCTACAAAAGTATCTATAACATTTTTTTTTTTTACTTAATGTATTACTACAGATGGAAAGAGGAGAAAGAAAAAAATTTTTTCTTAAGAGGAAGTTGCCTTGAAATTCTTCTGGGCAGCACTCACTTCTCAAATGATCAGAAATAGCTACAGACCAGAGGTCTAAGAATCAAAAAAGGGTAATTACTGCCACAGCAATTAGGCAGAAGAAAACATAACATGGGCACATTCCTCGATCCTCCAAGGTGAGCTTAACAGAGTACTGTTCCAATAGACACCAAGTGTGGGTATTTCAGACAGCAGTTACATCATTCAAACACATGGTGGTTCCTCTCTGACCTTACTAAGTCACATTGCTTGGCAATATAAAGCAACTTTGTCAAGAAGACATCTAATCAGAATCTTTCTTCCATCACTGCTGAAAGTCAGGAACTAAACCAGGAAAGAATATGTTAGAAGAAGCTGTGAAAGGGGCAGAGTAATACTGATGCTCTGCACAGGAGACTACAGAATGCTGTATACAGGTTGTAAAGACTAACTCCTAAAATGTTTTAAAATGACTGGTCAGATAAAATTAATATTGTGACTCCCAAGTTTCATGGGAATCTAAATCACAGTGGAATTAATAGCTCACATGGCTATAATATGCAGATGAAGTACAGGGTGAGTTGTTAATGGACAAGTGCATGCCTTCATTTCTCTGTTGCAGCTGGGAACTTCTCTTTCCTGTTCAGATTCTTCCATTATCACTGTGACACTAACTCTAACTACACGTCTCTGCAAGCCCTTTTGCACTGCTTGATATTTGTACCTTGACAGCTTCAAATCATGACCTGCCCACAACAAAAGGGTGCCACAGAGCTGCAGTTACTCTCTGTAGTCACCCTGCAAAGCTCCTCTGGACAGCAAGTGGGCTGTGAATGTAATGTAAGGTGGGTGTGGGGAGGTTACTGCAGGAGTTTTGCTACACACCATGCTACCTATTTGTTAGCTGAGGCCATGAATAGGACTCAATTTTCCTTTATTACCTGGTCTAGAAAGGTTGCCCTCGAACAGCTGATTCCCATCTGGTTTGGGGACTGTACTGGAAAGGTTTCTTTACCTGAGGAGCTTTTTTTTGAATCTTCCCTAGGTTGCTCTGAGTAGCCAGTGTCTCACTTGTGTGAATGAAAAGACGAAGAATAGAGCGAAGAGCTTTTTAATCTAGCCTGGAAAACAGCTACACTTTGATCCAAGAAATGTTCTACCAGGTCCTTGAAATCCTCTGCTCAGACAGCTGTGGCACAGAGCCATCAGTATGCTGTCAGGGCACACCAAAGACCTTTTCCTAAAACCTACAGCTGGCGTAGGGATGGATTGCACCATACTAGGAAATGCTAAGCTCATCTGTGGCTTATGAACAACACTTCATCTGGTTCCTTTCCAGAATCCAAGCTGGTGATGCTGTTTTTCACACTCTGTCTTCCCACAACAGGTCATCAGGTTTGCTTCAAACACCACCATCCTGAAGCTAACTTACGTAAAAGGACACAGCACACTTTGCTTTCTCCTTCTTTCATGGGCTGCTGTTTAGAAGGCCATAGTTTCAGTAAGCACAGAGTAAATCTACAGAGTCTGAACTTATATTTTCACTTTTCAAGTTTCTGTTATTAGTCTCAGGGTAAATGGGGTTAAATAAACTTTGCAGCACGTAAAAGGGTGATTAAAGACTGACTGCAGGCAAAATCCATATTTGGTCATCACATTAATGACATTTGAAGTTTCAGATGACCACAAAAATGCAGTAGGAGACCTTCCATCATTCAGCATGGTCATTGCCACAGCCAGCTGTAATACAGCAACCCTCAATGAATGAGGAGGGGAAATGGGACTGGATAAACAGACCACAGTTAGTATTAGATGTTAAAGATGACAGATGTGCTTGATTTAGCTGGGTGAATTATAATTTTGCTTCATTATAGTAGGCGTGATTTTGCATCTGCCATTTTCAGAGGGAAATTTTTTTACAATGGATCCCACATAAAAGCCTTTGCAAATTTACCAAATTAACATACAAATTGACCTGGAAGTAGAAAAGTAGTCCAGAAGGTGGGTGTGGACAGAGAAATGAGAAGCAGGCTACTCAGTAAAGGCAAGGGGAAACCCAAAACCAAACAGGGAGACTTTTCAGATAGAGAGCAGTAGTGAGAAGTACACAGCAAATTTCACTCTGACATTTTACTGAACTTTTTTACTGAGTGGGCAAGTCTTAGTTAAAATATACCATGCTGCAAAGGAAGATACAGTTTAGATTTTCTCCAAAAAGGAAGGGTGAGAGTGATCACAGGTCTACAAAAAAACAATGGGTAAAACATGTGAAATGCTGGAAAATTGAGTTTGTTCGGCCTAGGACTAATATGCTGCTAGACTCCTTTTAC